TTATATAATCCCTTAGTTTTCAAGGACTTTGTTCATATTTGCAATTTATTTCTTTTTTATTTTTACCTGACTGCATTAGTTCAAAAGACCAGCCTTCTAGCTCTAAAGTTATTTCTTCTGATTGGTCCAGTCTATTGATAAATATTTCAATTGTATATAGAAATTTCTTAAGCAAGTTTTTCAAACTCAGAAGTTTTAATTCATTTATTTTCAGATGTCTATCTCTTCCTTCATTTCCTAGATTGCTTTAAAATTTTCTTCATGTTGATATTCAACCTTGTCTTGTATCTCACTGAGTTTCCTTGCAATATATGCTTTGAATTCTCTATCTGTAATTTTTGAGTTTTTATTTTTATTGGGGACCATTGTTGAGAACTGGTTTGATAGGAACATAACTCGGCAATTATGTTCTTCATCAATTTAACCTGGTCAATCATTGTCTTCTCACTTCCATTCTTTACTTGAGAGCCAGTCATGGTTGCTCACTTCAGGTAGGATATAGAGAATCACTGCAGTCAAACATTTCCATAACTTTTTACAAGGCAAATTGCTGCTGTTTTGATTATCTCAAATGTAAACAAAATTTTTAAATGCTGCTTTAATAGTTAGAAATGTAAAGAAAACAAAAAATAAAAGATATATTGCATTATATCCAGCATATTTAACAATGTTGTTGCAAATGACATGGTTTTCTTCATTTTAAAGACTATATATTATTCCATGATGTATTCATCTACTGATGTACACATAGGCTGTTAACATATTGTGAATATTGGGAATAATACTGCAATCAACATGAGAGTGCAGATATCTCTTTCACATATTGATTTCATTTCCTTTAGAAATATACCCTATTTTGAACATGCTGAATCATATGGTAAGTCTATTTTTAATTTTTTGAAGAAGGTTCATGCTCTTTTCCACATGTCTATTAACAAGTTACATTCCCACCAAAAGTATACAAGCTTTCCCTTTCTCCGTGTCCTTACCAACACTTGTTATCTTTGACTTTTCCATGAGCCATAGTGATAAGAGCAAGACGATACCTTGTGTAATTTTGATTTTCATTTCTATGAAGGTTAGTGATATTGATAATATTTTCATATACCTGTTAGTCATTTCCATGTCTTCTTTGGTAAAAATGTCTATTCAAGTCCTTTGCCCATTTAAAAAAATTAAGGTATTTGGGTTTTGTTTGCTATTGACATATACGAGTTTCTTATATATTTTTGATATTAACCTATTATCAGATTTATGGTTTTAAAATATCTCCTCCTATTTTGTAAGTTGTCTTTTCATTTTGTTGATAATTTTATTTTCTGTGCAGAAAGTTTTTTAGCTTGATGTAGTCCCACATTTTTAATTGACTATGCTGTTGGTGCCACATTTTAAAAATTGTTACAAACCCAGTGTCAAGGAGCTTATTTCCTATGTTTTCTTCTAGAATTTTTACATTTTCTGGTCTCACATTTAGATCTTTATTCTATTTTGAATTGATTTTTGTGTGTCTTGTAAAAGAAAAGTCTAATTATTCTCAAGCACACAAGATTTATTTTCCAGGGCAAATAATGGCAGCCCATAAAACAAGTCTTAGTGAAGTTAAGAGAATTAAAATCACATCAAGTATTTTCCCAATAACAATGTGTAAGAAACAATAACAGCATTCATTTTATGGATCAATGAAAATCAATAAAAAACCAAAAGTTTAAAAATCAACAATATGTGGAAACTAGACGAGATGTTCCTAACTAACCAATGGACCAAAGAAGAAATTGAAACAGAAATTTTAAAATATCTTGAGGCCAAAAAAATAGAAACAACATACCAAAATATATAGGATCCAACAAAAGCAAGTCTAAGAGGAAAGTTTATAGTGATAAATCCTAAGTTAAAAAAAAAAAAAAAGGAAAAAGAAAGATCTCAAATAACGTAAGTTTACACCTGAAGGAACTAGCAGAAAAAACAAACTATGTTTTGGTTGCTTTTTAGAATCTGTAAATTCTTGTGTGTCCACAAAGCACTGCTGTATTTGTTGTTTTCCCTGTAGCATCTCTATGCAAGGACCAAACCTGAAATTCAATCTGTTTCACAGGATCACAGAATGTATGCAGTGTAGAAAACAGTGACTACCAGCTCACCAAAGAAGATCTCTTCACTCTTTGAAATTTTAATTATCTATTCCTAGATGATTAATATATATTAATATCTATTTTGCAATTTACAATTTTAATCGAGAAATAATAGTTCTATGAATAGATAGACTGGGTAAAATGTGATGTTTTTATATATGTTTACATTATGGAATGATTAAATAAAGCTGATTTGCATATGATCATAACACATACTTAACAGTTTAATGGAACAAATGACCCCTATCCTGAATCGCAACAGGACAATTATATTTTATTTCTTCTGTCTCAATCTTTTTTTTTTTTTTTGGAGACAGTCTTGCTGTCTGCCCAGGCTGGAGTGTAATGGCTCACTCTTGGCTCACTGCAACTCTGCCTCCTGGGTTCAAGCAATTCTCCTGCCTCAGCCTCCCAAGTAGCTGAGATTGCGGGTGCCCAGCACAATGCCTGATTGATTTTTGTATTTTTAGTAGACACAGGGTCACACCATGTTAGCCAGGCTGGTCTCGAACTCTTGACCTCAGGCAATCTGCCCACTTCAACCTCCCAAAGTCCTGGGATTACAGGCATGAGCCACTGCGCCTGGCCCATGTATCTCATTATTAAAGGCTTGGTATATTTGTTAGGATTCTCTAAGGGACAGAACTAATAAGATATATATACAAACACACATACATACACACACACATACATGCATATGCACAAATATGTATACTTATTGTGTGTGTGTGTATGTGTGTGCATATAGATGGTGCCAACCCAGATTAAGAATGGTCCTGCCTTTCCCAGACCACTGACTCAAATATTAATCTCCTTTGGCAATACCCTCACAGACACACCCAAGAGCAACATTTTTCATCCTTCAATCAAGTTGACAGTATTAGCCATCACACTTGGTAATGTGGATATTATAGAAGGTCATCGAAGACATAATGCAGGTGAAGATGTATTTAGATTACCTAGTGTATGTATATGGTACCATATGCAATACATATACGGTTAGTTATACATATGATTCTACATGTACATATACTCATGTGTGTATGTCCATGTGTCCTACATAGTTTCTCTATGTTGGAAAAGATTTTTCCTGCTTTCTTCTGTTTACCCTAAGTGTATAGCAAAAGTCCATCATGGAAGAAAACCCATCTAGTCTAGGAAGATCACTTTTTCAAGGAACGCAATCGCCAAAACCTCAAAAATACCCCTGTAAATATCTCCCAAACACTACTTTTCCTAATCTTTTCCCTTCCCTATAATATTGCATATGCCAGAGAGAAAAATTTTCTCGTAAATTAAAATATTTTATTTCACTTCTAATGGGCAAATACCCAGGAAAGAAATTATTGAGTTGGATGGGACGTCTTTGTGTAATTTCATATGATACAGCTAAATTGTTTTCAAAAACTTAAACTTTTACCTCCACCTGAAATGTGTTAGCATTATAGTTGATTCATTTTCTCACTGAGACTTTTTTAGTTGTATTTATTTTAGCCATTCTAATGAGTCTTCAAAAAACATCACTGTGTGTGGGGTGTGTGTGTGTGTGTGTGTGTGTGTGTGTGTGTGTGTGTGTGTGTTGGGACAGATCGCGCTCTGTCACCCTGGCCAGAGTGCAGTGGCATGATCATAGTTCACTGTAACCCTGAACTACTGGGTTCAAGCAATCTTACCACCTCACCTCCTGAGTCACTGTGGTTTTCATAACATTTTCATTGGTAATTATGGATACTTTATATCTTTTCAGGTGTTTATGAATGATTTGTGTATTTTCTTTTGTCAAGTGAGTGTCTCCTCAAATATTTCAACCACTTTTCATTAGATGCTTTGTCTTCCGTTTTGAGAGTTTGTTATATATTCCATATACAAATTATTTGTCAGATATTTATTAACAATCTGTGACTTACATTTTCACTTTCTTAATATGTCTTTTACTATTAAGAAACTTTTAATATAAGGTTTTAATGTTAATAAAATTAATTTTATCCATTTTCTGATGAGCCAGTCTTTTAACGTTCTGTATTTAAAAAGTTTCACCCAAACTTTAAAAAGAGTCTCCGTATGTTTTATGCTAAAATTTTGTAATTTTAACATTTACATTTAGATTCATGATATAGTTCATTTAACTCAAGTTAATAGTTTTGTATGATGGGAAATAAAACTTAAGGCTCTTTTTTCCATATGGATATCCACTTTTCCCATTATGATTTTTCTCCATTGAATTATAATGGCTTGTTTGTTGGAATATAAGTGACCAGATATGTGTGATTTCATTTTAGGATTCTGTTACTTTAATATCCCATTGTCTGATTACTCAGATAATTTTTTAGCATAAAATAGGGCATGCATGTAAGAAAGGTAGATTAATACTTAATTCCATTTTGTTTGCTAATCAGCAGGCTATAATTTTCAGAACAAAAATTAACTTCTGCCATTCAAAACAAGAAAAAGCAAAGGGTTGGTTGTTGCACAAGACACAGTAATCAGAGGCTTTTGTTAAAGTCACTCAGGAGTATGGGTTCCAGAATACAATTTTAGGAGGTCATCTTGAATCTGCACATATTTAATGAGCTTTGAATCAGTTTTGCTTTGAAAATATACATAAAGTTACAGAATACATAGAAAAGTATCTTGAAATAATTTACAAATATTGCAACACATGATATAAAAACTTTAGGATTTAGAATTTTTGGTAACGTGATTTAGAACTATTTCACTAAAGTAATTTCTAAAGGTTATGCTGGCATTAATGTATCAACTGACGGTCTATTGACTAAATAATTGTAATAATCAATTGTACTATAAGAGATAATCTGTGGATAGTAAATCACTTTTTCAGAAATAAAATATCTAAGAATATTATATTCTGTAGTAAATCAGTTTGGTGACAACTAATTTTTCAAACATGCTCTTGACATCTTTGTTCCTAAGGCTATAGATCAGTGGATTCACATGGGGATCACCACTGTGTAAAACAAAGAAGCCACTTTAACTATGAGGCTAGAAGTTTTAGGATTAGGAATACAGTAAAGGAAAAGGATGGTTCCATGGAAGATGGTGATGGCCATCAGGTGGGAGGCACAGGTGGAGAAGGTTTTCTGGCGCCCACTTGCAGAAGGAATCTTCATAATGGTAATAAAATTAAGCATATATGATGTCAGAATGATAATTAGGCTGCTCACCTCATTGAATATGGCAATAATACAGCTTATCAGCTGGGTGATATAGGGATCTGAGTAGGAGGCAGAAATAATTACAGAGTGGTCACAGATAAAATTATTTATGAAGGTGGATTCACAAAATGACAGTTCAAGAAGAAAATATGTGAGTGTCAGAGAGCACACTATCCCCCATGTGTAGGACCCAGCCATCAGCGGAGCACAGAGCTTCTGAGACATAATAGTGGTATAGAGCAAGGGTTTACAAACCGCCACACAACGGTCATAAGCCATTGCTGCTAACATGAAAGTTTCTGTCACTGCAAAAATGCAAGCAAAACAGAATTGTATGATGCAACCAGAGAAAGAGTTGCTTCTGTCTTCCACAACCAAGTTCTCCAACAGCTTAGAATAACAGAAATCTACCAAGGACAAGTGACTAAGAAAAAAGTACATGATTACATGGAGTTTTGAATTGATTTTGATTATTATTATTGTGCCCAAATTCCCCACCGCGGTTACTGTGCAGACAAACAAGAAAACCACAAAGAGTGGCACCTGGATTCCTGGGTATTCTGAAAAACCTAAGAGAATAAAAGTGGGTGTGCCGCTTTTATTTCCTTCAGATACCATCAACAGATACTGTTGGATTAAAAAGAAAAAAGTTATTCCTGCAAAGCAGAGCTGGATAGGAAAAAGAAACACAGAGAGAAAATAGGCTTCATGTGTTTCTATGACAAGTGATATAGAACAGTGATTCTAAAAATCTGGTCATAAAACCAGCAGTAGCAGCACCACCTGGGAACTCTCTATTACTGCAAATTCTCCAGCTCCATCAATCTTCTTAACAAAAACTCTGGGGTGACGTCCACTGTTTGTGGTTTAGTCAAGCCTCCAGGTAATTATGATGCATACTACAGGGCAAAAAACACTACTTACACAGGCAATTTATTATGATTCACATAGAACTGAAACATAAATTGTAGCATAAAACAAATTTTAAAAAACTTAGAAGCACAAAGGAAATCTTTTGGATTTAAGAATTACACTGAGGATCAAGTCGTTGACTTAGCATTGTCATTGGTGGCACACAAATGTTTCTACTTTTGCTAGGCATAACACAGAATTAAATGACTGTAGAATTTAAAAATTGAAATAAGCCGTAAAATGTACTTAGTCTATGCCATCCAACTAATGCTTGAGAGTCTGCCTAGGAAACCCATTTAAAAAATGTTTATATAGCTTCCATTAAAACTGTCAATGTACACTGTTTCCTGGGGTATTTTAATAAAATGTTAAGGCAAAGCAAAAACTTGTACTTTACAAAACTTGCTAAGTCAAAATGATTGGTTATGAGGACTTGAATATTGATCCAATAACTCTCTAAAGGCAGTTATTACTTGTAGTTGCAGGGCTTTTTTAAAACATAGCTTAACATTAAACAAGAAAATAAGTAGTGAGTCCCTAAATATAGATTTATTCCTCTTAATCTTGACTTCCATAATGTCTGGTGGAAAGGCTGAAATAAATTTCTTTCTGAATGTTCAACACCCGCCTATAAGTGAGAACATGCGGTGTTCGATCTTCTGCTCTTCTGGACGGTCGGGGGTGGGGAGGTGGGGAGAGAATGCAAGGGGAGATGCCGGATGTAGGTCATGGGGAGAAAGGCAGCAAATCACACTGCCACGTGTGTACCTATGCAACAATCTTGCATGTTCTTCACATGTACCCCAATACCTAAAATGCAATAAAATAAATAAATGGAAAAAAAAAAAGTCAAAACAGCAAAAAAAAAAATTTCTTTCTGAAACCTCCTGAAAAGGAGAAAAATGTAACACATTACATTTGTTATAAACTAGATACAATGATAAGGCATCTTGAACTAGAAAAATGTGACATATGCAATATGTAATGGACTTAAAATACAGTTATATATTTGCTTAAATATAAACTCTCATCAATCATGTATTTGAAAAAAATGGACATAAGACACATAAACAAACATTCATTTGAATTATTATGAGTGAGAAGGCGATTGGGAGTTTATCAGCTTCCTGACTGTCTCTTTTACGTCTTTGTTCCTAAGGCTGTAGATAAGGGGATTCAGCATAGGAATCATGACTGTAAAAAGCACAGTAGCCACTTTGACCAGGAGCCATGAGCTTTTGGAATTAGGCACACAGTAAAGAAACAGGATGACCCCATGGAAAATGGAGATGGCGGTCAGGTGCGAGGCACAGGTGGAGATGGCCTTTTGGAGTCCACCCGTAGAAGTCATCTTGATGACAGTGGCAACTAGGAAGACATAGGAGGCAAGGATGACCAGGAGGCTACAAGCTTCACTGAATATAGAAATGAGTAAACATGCCATCTGGCTGAAGTAGCGGTCAGAGCAGGATAGAGAAAGAACGGCAGGGTGCTCACAGCCAAAGTGATTTATGATGTTAGATCCACAGTAGGATAGCTTCAAAAGAGAATATGTGAGTGTCGGGGAACAGAGTCCTCCCCATGTGTAAGTTCCAGCTACCAGGAGAGCACAGAGCTTAGGAGACACAGCCACTGTGTAGAGCAGGGGGTTACAAACAGCCACAAACCGGTCGTAGGCCATCACCGCTAACATGAACATTTCTGTGATCACAAAAGCACAACCAAAGAAAAATTGTACCATGCATCCTTTGAAGGAGATCATTCTGTCTTCCACAGCCAAAGTCTCTAAAAGTTTGGGTGTAAATACACTGGAATAACAAGTATCCAAAAAGGATAGATGACTGAGGAAACAGTACATGGGTGTATGGAGCTTAGGGTTGATTCTTACGACCACAATTATGCCAAGGTTTCCCACCAGAGCGACAGTGTAGGTGGTCAAGAACACCAAGAAGAGGGGCGCCTGGAGGTGTGGATATTCTGAGAAACCCAACAGAATGAACGTGGTCACAGAGCTCTGGTTTCCCTCCTCTGGTGCCATGGCCCTTTATTAAAAGAGAGAGAGAGTCAGAAAAAAGTAACAAAAGAGAGTTAGAAGAAAGCCAGACAAAAGTAAAGGACAATTAAATTAAATAAGTTGTAGCAACAGAAATTGAGAAAAGTGGGATGGGAAGAACTCAGAAGAACCTTGATGTAAAGGAGTGAAGACAAATGTGGTTAGTGTGTGTTGCTGGTGTTTGACTTCACCACGAGTCTTACTTGACAATTTACAGTCTTTTTGATTATGGGAAATTAGCTTTGTCGTTCAGCATTTTTGTTCTCTCATCTGGAAAACAAGAAAAAATACTGCTTATCAATATTATTATTGTATACAAGTTGTCTGTAAATGTATATGATACAGCAATGAATTCTCATGGTAAAATGTAATTATATAACAACAAAGGAAACATATTAGCAAAATCAAAAAAACATTGAACAGATTATAGTAGTCATATGATCATGACAGAAGAGACCTTTGAAAGAATAAACATACATAAAAACATAAAGGTAAAATTTGGGGGTAGATGGGTTATATCGTGTCAGATGTTCACACTTCTGTATTGATATATTAAATTTTACCTGTTCCAGGTTTATACCATTGTGATGGTTACACAGAACATCTACTTAAGATACTCTAAGTGGTCTGATAAAAATTTCCCCTGATAATATGTTCTCTCAATTGTATAGCCCTCATATGGTTATTTTATTTTCAATGATAAAAACTGCAATTAATTTTGCATTAACCTAATATAAGGCTCAAAGTACTCAATGTTATAAAACTGTTTCCTGAGAATGTATTTCGTAGATATTCTTAAAAGTTTCACATTGATTATCTTCTGCTAGTTATGCAGCCCGTTTGCAGCACATATTGTATGAAACCAACAAAAATCTCTATTTCTTTAGCAATTATAAACCACAACATTTATAGAATGATCATACATTGCTCAACAATGGGTATATAGTCTAAGAAATGTGCCATTGGGTGATTTCATGTTTGTGCAAACATCATGGAGTATGCTTACACAAACCTAGATGGTGTAGCCTACTGTAGAGACATTGACAATGTATTATAGGCTATTACTCCAAGGCTGCAAATCTGTATAGCATATGACTATGCCGAACACTTCAGACAATTTTAACCAATGGTATTTGCATATCTAACTATAGAAAAAGTACGGTAAAACATATGGTATAAATGATTAAAAAATGGTACTTCCACATAAGGCACTTACTACGAATGGAGCTTGCAAGAGCTACTCTGTAGGAGTCAGGAGGTAGATAGTGGGTGAATGTGAAGGGCTAGAACATTACTGTACACTACTGTAGAATTTATCAACACTGTATACTTCAGCTATGCTAAATTTATTTTCTAATTTCTTTTTTTAATAATAACCATGGCCTACTGTACCATTTTTAGTTTGTAAATTTTATTTTTTTATTTGACCTTTGGTTAATAATACTCACCATAAAACAATAATATATTTTATAGCTGTACAAAAATATTTTCCTTTTTTTTCCTTGTTTTATAAGCTGCTTTCTACTTTTAATTTGTTTTCTACATAAATGCGTACTTTATCCTAGGCCTACACAGAGTCATCTTTAGCAATAGCACTGTTTTCCACCTCCACATTATGTCCCACTGGAAGGCCTTCTGGGCCAGAAACATATATGGATATGTCATCTCCTAAGATAACAACGTCTTCTGGAATATGTCTTGAAGGATGTGTCTGCTTTACAGATAACATTTTTTTAATACATGTAAGGAGTACACTCCAAAATGATGATAAAAGTATGTATTATTAAATTCATAAACCAGTTCACTACCCTTTAGTGTCCGTATCAAGTATTTGGCACTGTATATAACTGCATATGCTGAAGTTTAATGTGACTGGCAGCATGGTAGGTTTGTTTACACCGGCCTCACCAAATACATATGACTAAGGCATTGCACTATGACATTACGATGACTAGGATGTCACTAGGTGTTAAGACTTTTTCAGAACTATTAAATATTATGGGCTCACCATCATATAAGCAGTCCACCTTTGCCTGAAACATCATTATCTAGCTCATGGCTGTACTAAATAAAAATATATATCTTACAACAACCAAACACCTTTTCTCGATGTGACAAACTTAGATGTGGTGATCAATGAGGAATGACAGAATATGTGTGACTGAAATATATAAATATTTTGGTTTTTTAAGCCAATAGTCATGGTCGCTAGAAATTTCATATGATTAACCCAAAAAAAAACAAACAATAAAAACCACAAACAGATTTTGTAAATGAATTTGGAGGCCCAACAGATAAGAGGATATTGCCTTCCTGGATACATTTGTGAACTGCCACAACTTCTGGCCTTATTTGTGACAAATAATAACTTACCATCAAATCTAACACAACCAATCTCAGGCACAGAGCATCAGCTATAAGATCACTTTCTGTTACATAGGAGATTGTGTTGACCTTTTGTGAAACTCAGGCATTTAGTCACATGCTTTAATTAAAAAGACTTCTCTTTACATTCAGAAACTTAAATTACTTTGGCTGAGTCACAACTATACAAGTTAAGGATTTTGAGATACAGTATTTTATTACTACAGGATAGCTAGATTAAGCCATTTTATCACTAAAGGTTCTAGAACTTGCATTGAAGAAAGAATCCTTGGACTCTAGTGGAAACTAAGCATACTCTGAAGGATTCTAAACCAAGAGAAGACAAGACTTTTCAAGCAGAAAAGCAGAGCATTTCTGAGTATTTTCCCATGCCTTGTTTTCAGTCTTCACTAGCAATATTTTTTAGTGCTTCTTTCTTGCATTAAAGTACATTTCCTCACATATTTTCATGTATGAGTATTATTTAATAAGCATATAGTATTTGCTAGTGCTAGAAACTGTTACAAGAGCTTTGAATATATTAACATACCTAATCCTCGTGTCAGTCTGATCAATTAGACATTATTATAATTCCAATATGCACAGATGAGAAACTGAGATATACAAAGGTTAATTTTTGCATATGTTTTTATCAGAACCTATTTATATATTGCTTGCATTATTATTACAATTGCCAACCGATTTTCCAACTCCCAATTTTCCTCCCTCTAGTCCCTATTCTGAACTAATCCCAGAATCATTTTTCTGTACATATTTACTCATTAATTTTCTTCTTAAAAAACTAAAATGGTTCCAGATTTCTGGCTGCATTATTGTGATTAAAAATAAGCAATAGTATTTTCAGCAATAATAGCTATTTTTTCATTTGTCTGTGTATAAAGCCCTGCATCAAGTTCTGTATATGTATTATCTTTTATTTTTCCTCATATATAGTGATCTTTCTTCAAACCCTGTCAGTGAAACTCACTATGAAAGTAAACATCTTAGTAGTTTTATGTTTGAAAATTTACTTTAATGGGATTTTTCTATTGCATTTTTGGGGTACTTTCTGAATGGGGCTACAGTCACTATGTATCCAGTAGTACCACACCCCTACACTCTCATAAATCTTATTCTGACAAGTGCAGCCTTGTTTACTGTTCTAGATCTAAAAGACGCCTTCTTCTGCCTCTGTTTAGCACCAATAAGCCAATCACTATTTGCCTTCCAATGGGGCAATTTTCAACTCACTTGGACCAGATTTCTGCGGGATTTAAAAATTCTCTCACCATCTTTGGAGAAGCAGTAGCAACAGACCTTAAGGCTTTCTTTCACTCCTCCCAATGAAGAGTATGTCCTGCTGCAGTATGTTGATGATCTTCTTTTAGCAGCCCCAACACTAGAGGACTGCCACCAAGAGACACAGAGTCTACTCCACCTATTATGGAAGGCAGGATATAAAATATCAAGAAAGAAAGCTCAAGTCTGCCTGAGAAGTATCAGACACCTAGGATTTAGCATAAAACAAGAGAAGCAAAGTCTGGGTACAGTCCAGATAAAGGCTGTTTGCAGCCTTGCAACCCGGACTGGCAGGCTGCACATAAGAGAATTCTTAGAGGCAGCAGGGTTCCACCATATCTGGATTCCAAACTTCTCACTTATAGCAAAGCCCTTATATGAAGCCACAAAAGGGTCAGGCGGTGGCAGGGAAGGAAACTTTCCTTTGGGGAACTGAACAGAAAAAGGCATATAAACAGGTTAAGAAAGCCATAACTGAGGCCCTGGCTCTAGGATTACCAGGCATGGCCAAGCCTTTCTTCTTGCATGTTCACAAGGGGTAAGGAATGGCCATAGGGGTCTTAACCCAGGTCCTAGGATCATGGGACTGCCCGGTGGCCTATCTATCTGAACAATTAAATGTAGTGGCACAAGGGTGGCCTCCTTGTCCTAAGGCATTTGCTGCCACAGCCATGTTGGTATAGGAAGTGGAAAAATTAACTTTAGGACAACATTTGACTGCAGGTGCCGCACTCTATCCTAACTCTGATGGATCAGAGAAGACGCCTTCGCTGTCAAATCCAAGAATGACTCGGTACCAAGGGCTCTTGTGTGAGAACCTTTGCATAACTTTAGAAACTGTGAATACCCTTAATCCAGCCACCGTACTCCCCATAGAACCAGGAGCCCCACTCCATGACTGCATAGAAACAGTAGATGAAGTATTCTCAAGCCAGAGAGATCTCACGGATCGTCCCCTCCAGGAACCAGAGGTAGAATACTTTACTGATGGAAGCAGTTTAACACAAGGGATCCTACAAACTGAGTATACAGTGGAAACACTAGACTCAGTAGTAGAAGTCCAATCTGTGCCAACAGGAACATCAGCCCAGAGAGCAGATCTAATAGCCTTGGCAAGAGCATTATTACTGGCAAAAGACAAAAGAGCCAAAAGACAAAAGATTCCAAATATGCATTTGCCACCTGCATGGTTCTACATATAAAGCAAGAAGGCTCCTAACAGCCCAAGGAACAAACATAACGTATCCAGAAGAAATTTTACAACTCCTAGATGCAGTATGGGCACCAAAAGAAATTGCTGTTATGTACTGTAAACGCCACCA